CAGGTGAAGGGTAAAAATATTAGGAAGGCCAAAAAAGAATGTGAAGAACAGCAAGACAAACACTCAAAAAGCAATAGCGCTGGTTTTTTAAGTCCACCAGAAGCAGGAAGCCGGTTAAACAACCAATGGGGCCACTGGACGGTCAAGATGCCAAAGGAGCACTCCAGTGTGAGAAGGCCATTTCTTGCAGAGAAACTAAACAGAATTTCTGCGTCAGTCTTCATGGCTGTAAGGGAAGAGTCCCAAACCTGAGCCATTCTTTTAGGTGACAGATCTGAGGAATTGTCCCAGACTGAGGTGTCCTGAGAGGAGATTTTGGAACGAATCGATAAACGTAACAGGAACAAGTCACCAGGGCCAGGTGACATCCACCCGAAGGAGCTCAGATGTGAAATTGCAGAACTACAAACTGTGGTTTCTAACCTCTCTCTTACACCAGCCTGTGACGTAGTGGGGGGGTGCTGTCTGCGCTGTAATCCAGTGTGCTATGGGGGTGCCTTGCTGGTTGCTGGGCTTGGGCAGTGAGTGACCTCCACTGGCGGCTGTTTGCAGCACAGCCCAACAGGACAGCGGATGAGTCACTAGGCCAGGGTCTCCCAACCTGTCCGACAGGTCGCCTCCCAGGGAGAGAGACAAAGGGAGGAAGGCGGAGACCAACCCCTGTCTGGGAGGCAGGGCTGGATGAGAGTCAGTTTCTGTCTGGGAGCATGGAGGAGTCAGCCTAGGGAAAGGGGCTGGGATTTAGGGGCCCAGTCTCCCCCATCTCAAGGGGGCTGAGGCATCCTAGGCCTGCCCTGGAACCAGATTCCATCTGTGCTGTGCTGTATCCTGGAGAAGCAATAAACCCCCTCTGTTCTACCGGCTGGGGGAGTCTGTTCGTGCCACTATGGGGGTGAAGGAGTCGGGGGAACCCCAACGTGCCACCACACAGCCTCTGTACCAAGTGACAGAGAGATAGCTAATGCGATGCCAACTTTGAAAAAGGGCTCCCTGCATTTACAGGCTGGTTCATACCAGGCAAACTGGTTGAAACGACAGGAAAGAACAGACTTGTCAGATGAGTGGGGGCAGGTCAGTACCCGAGAGCGGTGGTTTCGGGCTCTCTGCAGACTCAGGAACATGCCCTTGCGCTCGACAGTGACTGGGGGGCGGTGGAGTTTCATGCCGGGCTTGGAAGCGGTCGAGCGGTCAGAGGGGGATTTCCCAGTGCTGCCCGAGAGCGGGCGGAGCGTTTCTGGAGCTGGGCCGGCCCCGAGTTCCTTGGCAGCCCCTTCCCCTGACTGTTCTCTCTCCCTCTCCCCACAGCTGGCTCTACAATCTGTTCACGGGGGCGCTCCAAGAACCCCTGCGGCATGAAGTGAATAAGCAGGTGGGGGTTTGCCCAGCTGACAGCAGCTCCGCAGCCTTTGCGACCCAGACTTGGGAGCTAGGAGAAGGGTGTGATGGGCAAATGCTGAACAAGCCTTTTCCTCCCGGGCCTTTCCCGCTGAGCACTAAACTCAGCCGCTCGTTGCTACTCAGGGAGCTGCTGAGTACAGGGCGCTTTGGAGTGAGCTTGCTCAGCCTGGGTTTTCAGCAGGCTCGCTCCTGCACTGTCAGCGCCGCGGCCCAGACCTTCCTCGCTTGAGCGAAAGGAGAAACTCCACTCACTGGCAGCAGCAGTAGGCTGTTATCCACTCGTGGAACACGCTCCTAGTGGGAGACGTTGGCCATTTTGTTACTCTTACCTTATTGTGCCAGTGCAGGTCACTTCAGGCCTCCTGCCTAATGTACCTGGGACACAGGGCAAAATATGGGTCCAATACCATCTCTGCGTCATCCTGGACACCCCTGCATCCTGGGGCAGGGGAGAGTAGCTCCTGGGTGGAGATTGTATCAGTGTTTGTATTTGAAACCCAGCTCAGATCCACAGCCATTCTGTTGGAAGGAAGGAAGGAAGGAAGGAAGGAAGGAAGGAAGGAAGGAAGGAAGGAAGGAAGGAAGGAAGGAAGGAAGGAAGGAAGGAAGGAAGGAAGGAAGGAAGGAAGGAAGGAAGGAAGGAAGGAAGGAAGGAAGGAAGGAAGGAAGGAAGGAAGGAAGGAAGGAAGGAAGGAAGGAAGGAAGGAAGGAAGGAAGGAAGGAAGGAAGGAAGGAAGGAAGGAAGGAAGGAAGGAAGGAAGGAAGGAAGGAAGGAAGGAAGGAAGGAAGGAAGGAAGGAAGGAAGGAAGGAAGGAAGGAAGGAAGGAAGGAAGGAAGGAAGGAAGGAAGGAAGGAAGGAAGGAAGGAAGGAAGGAAGGAAGGAAGGAAGGAAGGAAGGAAGGAAGGAAGGAAGGAAGGAAGGAAGGAAGGAAGGAAGGAAGGAAGGAAGGAAGGAAGGAAGGAAGGAAGGAAGGAAGGAAGGAAGGAAGGAAGGAAGGAAGGAAGGAAGAGGGGGATGGAGGAAGGAAGGAAGGAAGAGAGGAAGGAAGAGGGGGACGGAGGAAGGAAGGAAGGAAAAGAGGAAGGAAGAGGGGAAGGGAGGAAGGAAGGAAGGAAGAGAGGAAGGAAGAGGGGGACGGAGGAAGGAAGGAAGGAAAAGAGGAAGGAAGAGGGGAAGGGAGGAAGGAAGGAAGGAAGGGGATGGAGGGAAGGAAGGAAGAGGGGGATGGAGGGAAGGAAGGAAGAGGGGGATGGAGGGAAGGAAGGAAGAGGGGGATGGAGGGAAGGAAGGAAGAGGGGGATGGAGGGAAGGAAGGAAGAGGGGGATGGAGGGAAGGAAGGAAGAGGGGGAGGGAGGGAAGGAAGGAAGAGAGGAAGGAAGAGGGGAATGGAGGAAGGAAGGGAGGAAATCAAAGAGGAGATGACTATAAAGTAGGTCCATACCCTCCTCGTTCACCTTATGGCTGATCCTGCTTTGCTCCCCCATCCCCCACAAGAGCCCCGGCCTACACTTTCCTCTGGGAGAGAGCTGCTGAATCTGTAACCCAGCTCTGCCTGGGGCTCAGGAAAGGGGTCAGCGATCTGGAGTGCGCCCTGAAGATCATGCCAGGTAGGAACCGGGCGACCCATGGCGGTGTGAGGGGAGAGGGGCTGCGCAGCAGGACAGGAGCAGACAGCAGGGCCGCCCGGGGAGGGGGGCAAGTGGGGCAATTTGCCCCGGGCCCCACAGGGCCCCCCACGAGAATGCCTGAAGTCTGAGATCTGAGACAGGGAGTGCCAGGAAGGGGCCCCCAAAATGGCTTTGCCCCAGGCCCCCTGAATCCTCCGGCCAGCCCTGGCAGAAAGCTCAGGCTGACTCTGGGCCGAGACCTAGATTGAGCCCGGGCTGGGGGTTCAGCTCAGCCGGTGACGAAGAAGAAATGAAAAGAGAGAGGCTGGTCC